GGAGAGGATCCATTGCTGGTTGAAATGCAGACTTGTACAACCACTTTGGAAATCAGTATGGCGGTTTCTCAGAAAATTGGGAATCAACCTACCTCAGGATCCAGCAATTTCGCTGTTGGGCGTATACCCAAAAGATGCTCAATCATACTACAAAGGCATTTGTTCAACTATGTTCACAGCAGCATTATTTGTAATGGCCAGAACTTGGAAACAACCTAGATGCCCCTTTACCGAAGAATGGATAAAGAAAATGTGGCAATTTACACATTAGAGTACTACTCAGCTGTAAAAAAACAATGACATCTTGAATTTTGCGTGCAAATGGATGGAACTAGAAAACACTATCTTGAGTGAGATAACCCAGACCCAAAAAGTTGAATATGCTATGTACTCACTCATAAGTGGATACTAGCTATAAACAAAGCACATTGAGCTTATAGTTCATGATCCTAAAGAAGCTAAATAATAAAGTGAACCCTAAGAAAAACATATAGATCCAACTGGAAAGTCAAAATAGACCACCATAAGTCTTAGAAAGGAAAATATTAATTTGGGGCTTGCTTATAGTTTAGAGGTTTAGCCCTTTGTCATCACGGTGGGAAACATAATGGCATAGGCAGACATAGTGCTGGAGAAGGGAGAGAGAGAGAGAGGAGAGGGAGGAAGGGAGGGAGAGAGAACACGTCATTGAGCCTGGCTTGGGCTTCTGAAACATCAAAGCCCACCCCCAGTGACATACTTCCTCCAACAAGGCCACGCCTCCTAATCCTTTCATAATCTTTTCAAATAGTGCCATTTCCTGGTGACCTGTCATTCAAATCTGCCAACATATTGCGGGGGGGGGGGGGGGACATTCTCATCCAAACCACCACATGGTCGGAGCTCCAAACAATGTTGCTGGTCTTAGAGTTTAAATTTATAAATGGGATTACAATAAAAGAAAATGCTGCTCATTTACAATTCAAAAATGCAATTCTGTGAGAGTATGCTGACTGTTGTGTGTGGAGCACTTTGGATTTACCATCGAGAAAAAAAGTGTCTTGAGGCTACAAGGTCTCTCCCTGAACTCAGGGCTCACTGATTCTTGCTATTCCAGCTAGCCTGTTTGCTTCAGAGTTCCCTTCTGTCCATTTCGGAAATGCTGGGATTGCAGATGGGTACCGCACCCACTGTGCTTCGACCTGAATTATGGAGATCTGAACTCTAGGCTTCATGTTTGCAGAACAGGTGCTTCATCTTGAACATCACCTGAACCTTCTCCCCAGCTCGGAATTTTTAACCAAAATCAAGCTCTTTAGAGTTTTCCTGCTGTGTAGACTGTCCCTGTTTAGGGGTTAGAGCAGAGGGAGCTGGGAAAAGTATACATACAAACCTGTAATTGAGATTGTCATGTAGAATACCAATAATAGATCTTTTTGAGATGGTGATTATGTGCTAGGAGCTGATATGATCACTTTAAAGAATTATCTCATCATGGTGACACACATGTTTAGTCGCTCACCTCCACCCCCCCCCCCACACCCCTGGAGGCTGAGAGAGGCAGATCAGGGCTAGAGAGTGAGAAGGAAAGAAGAGAGTGATCTCAGTAGATTGGTGTTTTAAAGCTCGTCAGAATGGCTGGCTGTCTAGAGAGCAGATGGGGAATGATTAGCAGGTACTGTCACCATGGCTTATTAATTGGGTACTAGTTACTAATCACCATCATTTTGCTAGTATAAGAAGGCACAGTGAAGGTGAGTAACTTGCTCATGATGTGGCTGGGAAGCAGTAGCATTCTTTGGAGTCGGAGGGGAGATACTGGTTAGTGTAGACGTATTGCTAGCTAGGCAGAGACTGTGCTTGAAATATGATGATGTATCATATATGAAAGCTACTCTGAGAAGATGGACGGAAACGCCATGTGGCTTGCTGATTGGGAATAAAGCCATCCCTAAACGCTCAAGTGGGTTGACTGCAACAGCGGTAAATGACTCAGAAGAAGATAAGGAATAAAACGTTAAGCTCTATTTTAGTCACATTGAGATTTGATGTCACACAGTCAAGCGAGGTGACAAGCAGAGTGCAGAGCTAAGGAGGGTGGTTAGGAGTTAGGCAAATGTGAATGATTGGTGGGGTTTCTGCTGGGGGTGTTTGAAGTTTCCAGTGGTAACAAAGTGGGGTTTCCCCCCTACACAATCCTGCAGAGTTAAAAATAAAGTCATGCTAAAATCTCTGCGTAAAATGACTACATCTCTGCCCACATGTACTTGAAAGGAAACCTACTAACAGTCCTAGGAGCCTGTTTTATATTTGTTTTTCCTGTCTGTGTGGTATTTGTACATGCACACATATATGCTTTTGATATACATGCGTGTTTGTGTGTGTATGGAGACCAGAGGTGGACACTGGGTATCTTCCTCAGTCTTACTCAGATGCTCTCCACCCTTTTGTTGTTTGTTTGTTTGTTTTTGAAACCAGGTCTCACTGAATAGCCCTGGCTGGCCTGGACTCCCTATGTAGATCAGCTTTAAGTACAGAGATCCATCGGCTGTTTTCTTTCACACGCTGGGATTGAAGCTGTGTGCCACTTGTATCTGGCCACTTTTTTAAAATTGCTCTCTTATTTTATTTCTAAACTTTCCCTCTGACCTTTAAAATCGGGTTCTTGAAAAATGTTGTTTCATGGAAGTCCGCAAGCCTCACGGCCGACAGGGAAACATTTGGCACAAGCTGAAGAGCGAAACTTGGTCAACACCATGCTAGCAGGTGCTGGGTCCAGAACTTTCCGAGTCTGACCTTGAGGTTATTTTTCTTCTGCAGTAAACACAGTAAAACATCGGGAAAAGTCTCCATGTGACAGTTATCTCAACAAAGCTTCAGGGATGGCTACACCTAAACTCCCTTGCAAAACACACCTCTTTAGCAAAGTTCTTAAGAATGAGTTCTGTTGATGATAAACAGTGCCCAGGCCATGGGCATCAGGAGGAAGGATCTGTAGTAAGCATAAGGATGGATTCAGTAGACAGAGAATGCAAAGTACATGCAACTTCCTTCATAAGGAAGGGTTCCACTCACTGCGAGACAAAGCTCAGGATTCGGCCTAAACAGTACTTAGGATTTAGGGGAATTGAGGTGAAGGCTGATTCCACAAAATAGGTTGGTAGACAATATCTGCTCCAGCCTTCCGGGTGGAAAGGCAGCCTTTCCTTACCCTGAAGAAGATTGCATGCTTAGCAATTCTGGTTCTCCTGATGCTTTGTCGAAGCTGTGCCTCCTCCAGTTTAAAACAGTGTATTTTTATTATAGCCTCTCCTCCGACAATGTCTTCTAGACCCCTCCCTTCCTCTCTACCCACTCAGCTTTGTGAACTTTAAAAAATAATCAAGTCCAGTTTGTGCTGTTCACATACCTGCTCAAGTTAAAGCCAGACAGAATTCCATGGAGAGGGCAGATGGGCACTGAGTCCCACCCCTAGCTGAGGAACCATTGGCCACTGATAGCTGTTGAAGAGGGAGACTTTTCGTTCAGAATGTTGCTCTTGGTAGGTCAACCACACTCCCATGGATGGCTCCAAATCTACCTCATTTTCTCTAAGGCTGCATCTATAACTGAACCTGGAGCTCACTGATTTGGCAGGGGAGGCTGACCAGTAACTCGTAGGGTTCTGCTCCTTTACCTCCCAGAAGCTGGGGTTACAGCAGATATAGCCATGTCTTTTCTGTGGCTGTTGGAGTTCTGAATTCTGTTTTTTTGGTGTATGCAGCAGGCACTTTACCCATGAGCCATCTCCATAGCCCCTGATACCCAGGAACCTTAAAAACATTTGTCACTGTTGTTTCGGGCATGACTGCCTAGCCCTTACTGTTTTTCCTGTCTCTTGACTTGGTTGTGTTTCTTCCTCTGTGGTCATCATTAGCCTTGCAATGAAACAAACGGCCTCACTCTTGGGAACCCTTCCGTCCTCAAAGAAATCGCTGCATCTCACGTCTACACTTTCTGTCAGCAGTAGAAATACTCTCTTCATCCCTCATTTTTTCTTCCCCCTCGTTCCTTCTGGACGTGTTATCCATGGACTGTGTTGTTGCTCCATCCACATAGCATGGTTCACGGGTGACATTTCTGTAGCTAAGTGAACTCAGTGCATCTCAGTCATTGCTTCGTTCATCCTTAGGCACAACTGGTATTGTCTGAATTCTGGGAGGAAGGCCAGTTACTCTCCTCAGGCAGAGACCAGGACCTTTGTACATACTCTTGGACAAAGAGGGATGGAAGGGTGGAAATGTGTATTTTAGTGATTTTCCCATCCTTGTCCTTCCTACTCCTGGTGGTTCCTATGTAGATGTTTTGCTGGGTGACATTACATTATTTCCTTCTTTTCCACAGGGAACGACGATGTGGGAGTCGGTCCACCAGAATATTATCCTAGGATAATTAAGTCCATCTTTGCACATGTTTTCATTATTCATAAAACTTTTTGTATCTCTCTACTAGAATTTAGTAATTCATTTCAGTCATATTTTCCTTGCAAATAAGTATTGGTTGAGGTTTCTGTACCCTGATATTGGGTTCTTCTGCCAAAGTAATAAATCAGATCAGGCCAAATTAATGAGTCCGGGTTTAATTCGAGCAAACCGTTCCCTGGGTGGTTCTAGTAGAAAGAAAACAAACCACAAGGGGAAATCACGTGGCAAGTCGGGGAACCTCATCCTAAATAGCCCATGGGTGTGGTCCTGGGCATCTCCTGGGGAGGAGCCGCCCTTTCTAGGGCTTTCTGAGACAGGGCATGCTTTAGAGTGAGGGGGAGGGGGAGGAGGCCCGAGACGGAGCTCCACCCAAACATTGGTAACTTATTTACTTATTCTATTACATTTTGGAAAGAATCCTAGTTAGCAGGTTTGAAAACTCATTTGTTCTTATTCGAGACTTGCAAAAGATTTGAAAGGTAGGAGTTTTTAAAACTGAATTCTGCTGCATAAAAACTGAAAACAATTCCAAGTGACGGATGCATCTCTTCTTTGCAGCCTTCTCTGAACCCTGGAGGATGCCAGTCCTCCGATGTGGTCCTACTGAACCACTGGAAGGTGAGGAATTTCGAAGTCCAGCGTGGAGACATTGTGTCACTGGTGTAAGTAACCCAGAAACTTTCTGTATTTGCATTTCTGCGCATCGGGATTTCACTGATAATTTACTGCTGATATTTGGCCAGTTATGAAATTAATGAGTCCATCTTAAATACGATCAGTATAGATATAACAATGATCAAAAAGTTTTTTTTACTTAATATATGTCAGTTGGATGACATAATTTGTAAATTTTGTTTAATGAAATGTTGAGTTGATATTATTTTGCAGTATTTTACAATTTTGCATCTTGGTAAGCAAACTTATGTGCTACGTTTTACTACTTTTGGAAAGAAACCATTCTTAGGAGATGATAATTATGATATAAGATGCAATGGTACTTGTGTATGTTGTGATTTTACCTGGGAAAAAAAAGTTTGAAATAGTAGTATTCTGGACTTCTATTTGCATCAAAAGATGGCGCTGTTTCTCTGTAAAACGTTGTGGCTGGGCGGGACTAAAGATTGTACCCGAGGTTGGCTGTAGAGGAGTGTCAAAGTGTCCATAACTGACATGGTGACATAGTGCACTTCTGCATGTGCTTGAGTGGTTTATAGTCCAAATTTTGATTTTTTTTTTTTAAAAAAAAGCCTACCCAGAACAGACTGCAGCAGACCTTCATTCTGGCTGGAGCTGTTTCTAAGAGCTGTTCTAGTAGGATGCTTGTTCCAGGGGCCGGCGCAGGGAGCTGCAGCTGATGTGGTACTCTGAGTGTTTATTTTCACGACTGTAAAACCTACTATTGAGTGAGAAGCTTTCTCTTCCCCAGTCATTCCTTTCTCTTGAGCTGGAACGAGATTTTTTTTCTTGTTGGATGATAATTTTAATAGGTAGAAAAATCCAGTATCAACTTGCTCCTCTTTACCTGTAGACATTTTCCTGCTGGACATAGGTATTCTGTAAGTGTGTCTCCTTCAAGACTGCTCTTAACAGGGTTCATTTGAAACCACATTACCTACATCTGGTCAGTAGGTAATGGGATACAGGGGAGTGGAATGATGGCAGACAGCCAGGGATGGGATTTAAACGCTTCTGAGGTTCTGAGTATTTTCTTTAATGTTAATCTACTCTTTGGAGTGTACGTTTACTTTGTCATTCAGTGCAGTGTGTTTTTGCTACCCTCTGATAAGCCTCTCCGCGTGGAATAAGCCTATCATGTCTACATTGTTTTTTGCCTTTGGTTTGACAAGTTTACATCCTCACTTAGTTCTTGACTAAGAGGATACCCACCCAAGAGAAAGAAGCCATATAACAGTGGGCAGCTGGGCAGTCCTCTCCCCCTAGGAAAACAAGCTGGCTGTCTCTAAGCAGGCAAATTTGAATAGGGCATCGAAAACTGTGAGATGGCTCCTTGAAATTCAGGGTTGTGAGTCCATAAAAATATCCTGACATACCACCATTTATTTCTAAAGGAAAACACAACTTTTTTAGGTAATTGTTATAGTGATTGATATTTATTATACAAATTAATGTAAATGAACATTTGTATTCAAATCGGGATTGGGAAATTATGGCTACTGCAGGTGAAGCACATCATTTATTTATTTATTTATTTATTTATTTATTTATTTATTCTTTCGAGACAGGGTTTCTCTGTGTAACAGGCCTGGCTTTCCTGGAACTCACTCTGATAGACCGGGCTGGCCTGAAACTCAGAGAGATCCGCCTGCCTCTGCCTTCCAAGTGCTGGGGTTAAAGGTGTGTGGTACCGTGTCCTGGTGAAGCACATTTTTAACGCGTCAGTGCTGTGTCTGCATCATATAGAGATGCCATAACTTCATTTCATATACTCTGTGGCTGGCAGGCCTCATTTGCATAAAAGAACACTTAGTGTTGGGATTATGTTATTCAACAACAAATATTTATTAAGCCAGTCCTGTGCTGGCTGTTTCAAACTTAGTTTGGTTGTCTATTCTTTAGCTTGAGGTTGAACTATAAAAGCTATACTGTGTTATGGTATTTCCTGTCTAGTTTTATGAGCAAACTGCTTTTGGAATATGTCCTTATATTTTCCTACAATCTGTAGACTGCTTCATTTGAAAAGATCAGTGTTAGTGTGATAAACTTTCACCTATATATTTAATCCATGCCAAGCAACACTGAATACTTGGTTCCTACAAAAAGATCCTCTGTAACTTTTAATATGGAGGATAATTTTTATTGCTTTGTTGAGAGATTGTTGACCAAAGCTAAAAGCTTTCAAGGCAGGTCTGAAGGGGGAGCAGGTATGCCCTGGAGTATGCTTCCTTATGTCTCTCTCTCTTTTCCTGTCTTTTTCTTTTTGAACCGTTGGTCCCAGTGGAGTTATTGTTTAAGCATATTATTCAGTTATGTTAATTCAAGAGGAGTATTTACCCAGTCACATGAAAGACAAGGCACAGTATCATTCGCTGTCATTAAGTCCTTAGTATTACTGAGTGTGTGTAGGTGGCACTGTACTCTCTTAATGGATTTGCAGTCCAATAGTAGTGCTTAAGGTGGATTTTCTATACCTTGGAATTGACTTTTTATTAACCTGTGTGATGGCCTTACTGCAATTGGCTTAGCATAGGAATCACAGTTTCTCAAAGAATATATCACCTAGCAAGTCCAATGGGATAGAGATGCTTTATAGTAAATCTTAAATAATCACATTTATGTTTGAATGTTTTATTCTGAAATAACATTAAACCTAAAGAAAGCCTGTAAAGTAGTATAGAGAGTGCCCTTCTACCTCTTCCCCTGTGAATAAAATCGTACACAATCAAAGCAAAAGTACAGTTATTCAATGTAGGAAACGCCATTGATAGAATGTGTGTAACTGTGTGCTTTAGTCATTCACCAGCCTTTTGACTAATAATCTTTTAGATTCCCCTGGGCCAAAGCATATTGCATTTTATTTTATTTTTCATTTCACTTTGGTCTTCTCTAGCCTGTGACAGTTCTTTAGTGATTTTGTCTTTTATGAACTTAACACCTTTGACGTTACTGGCAAGTTGCTTTTCAGAACGAGGCTCTGCCATCACAGTTTTCATGGCCGTTCAGCTTTTGAATGGGGGTGGGAGTTGCCGAGGAAGGCACAGCAGTGCTGACAGCTGAAGAAAATGGAGACTCAGGCAGAAAAGGCAGCATGGCCAGTGGGAAGATGGGGGAACTGATTATAGGGTCAGTTTTTTAAATCTACAATCCCACCCCTCACCCCCGTGCTTTTGGTTCAGTTGTTTTTTTTTTTTTTTTTCCGGGAAGAGGGTTTGAGACAGGTTTTCTCTATGTAGCTTTGGTGTCTGTCCTGGAACTAGCTCTTATAGACCAGGCTGACCTCCAACTCACAGAGATCCTCCTGCCTCTACCTCCCGAGTGCTGAAATTAAAGGTGTGAGCCACCACCATCTGGCTTAGTTCTTTTAGCTGTAACTCTCCCATATATGTATATACACACACACACATATGTTCTACAAGCTTGGATAATGACTAAAAGGGTCTATGGCTTTTAGAAATGAGCCAAATCTACAGCTGCTAGGAAATAAGGTGTGGGAACTATGCAGTTTGGGGAAAGGCTAGAGTGTAGCAGAGGTAGACAGGAAAGAAGGAAGAAGGGCTGGATTTCAGATTGTCTTAGTTAGGGCTTTTATTGTTGTGAAGACACAGCATGACCATGGCAACTCTTAGAAAGGAAAAACCATTTGATTGTGGTGGCTTATATTTTCAGAGGTTTAGTCCATTATATCATTATGGAGTAACATGGTGGCATGCAGGCAGACATGGTGCAGGGGAAGGAGCTGAGAGCCCTACATCTTGACCTGCAGGCAACAGGAAGTGGTCTGAGACACTGGGTGTATTGAGCATAGAAGACCTCAAAGTCCACCCCACAGTGACACGTTTCCTCCAACAAGGCTACACCTCCTATAATGCTACTTCCTATGAGTTTATAGTCAAAGCACCACACAGATCTTGGTGTAAAGTACTGCGTAGAAGGTTGGTGCGAGGATTGCTCACATGCTGCCATCTCTCTCCTCGTCACTCTAGACACTGTGATAAGTGCTCTGACTTTTAATTTCATCCTCATCCCACTGTCTGTAGGAAGTTGCTTATAGCATCATGGAATTCAGAGCAAGCACGTGACTAATGAGGAACAAAGAGAGATCTGGCTCTGGGTACACATGATGTGGACCTGTGCTCCTTGATTTCTGGGTCCGTGTAGCAGGGCACATTCAGTGGAACTGCTGCTGTTCATGTAGATGATAACAGTTTGGAGACTCCTCGGCAAATCAGGGCATTAATCATCCCACTTGTTTACTTTTCCCTTTACATTTAGAGAATTTTAAGTCGCCTCTGATATTCATTCTCCTTCTCTTGTGGACAAAGCCAGGTTTAAACCTTTGCCATACAAGGTACTGTATCCCCGGAGTATGTCCCACACCACTTCATTTGACACTTCAGAGTCTGAGGTGGAATCCAGGAAGGTGAATGCTATATAGCCAAGGCTAGCTCTATAAGAGGTAAACGTCAGGCATTGGGGAGAATGCTGGGGTGATCAGGCCCAAAGACAAGCCATATAGTTTTAATACTGGCTGCTTCTAACTTTTAGTCCTGAAGTAAGCGTTCTGAATCCATTTTTATTGTATTATTTTGTTTTTCTCTGCCGTAGCGAGAGACCTGAAGAAGCAGCTTCAGAGAGAAAGGATTTAATTTGTCTCAAGGTTTGTGAGAATCCATATGACAGGAAAAAGATGGCAGCTAGAACTTGGAGATGAGGCAGTATGAGCTGGCTCATATCTGATCTGGGTAAATGAAGGTGCAGAAAGCAGACTAGAAATAAAGCTGGTCTGTACACCTCACGATCTGTCCCCTAGTGACAGCCTTCCCTTCTAGGTGTCACTTTCTGAAGTTTCCCCAGACAGCAGCAGCATCAGCAGTCCTGGACCAGGCGTTCCAAACAGCTTGAGAGGAGATGTTTCACACTCAAACTATAACACCCCTTGTTTTAAAAATCAACACAGCAGGATAATATTATTATTTCCAGTTTA